CCCTAAGAATTCGAGTTTCCATCGCTATTATATTTCTTCGCCTTACTTATTGAATGTACATATGTGTCTATACACAATGTGTAGTGCCTAGTAGTAATTATGTTTAGTCCTAGCCCATCCTTCATTTTATTTGTTTTCGTATGCGGAAGCGTCTCCATACTAAAAGAGGCTTTCATCTTGTTAGCGCATTGGTAGTCGGCTCATCTGTTATGCGGAATGGCTAAGACATTCTTTATGGTTATGGTATCGTGGCTCCGAATTCTAATGGATTATGGAAGGGGGTGATTCGCGCTAAAATTTTATGAGGAAAGAGGAGGAGAGGAAAATAAAGAGAATTGTGGAAAATGCACTAACATACGATGCATTATGCTTGCATTAATTTCAAATAAAATTTATTGAACTCAGATTATAATTTCAAATTTCTTTCTCTGTGCGCAAGGCTGCTCCCTGCTCGGGTACATTTGTTTGAAGATACTTGGAGAAGTTCCAAATTTGTGTGTAGTCGCAAAGTCTTCTTACTATAACTGACAATCCATTTTTACAGGTAGATGGCGAATTTCGAGAATGGTCAACAATGACGCAGGGTGTAGTGTTAGGCTCATTTTTCTACGGATACATCCTTACGCAGGTCAGTGAATAGTAAGCGATACTTAGTCTGCACAAAGCAATTGAATTATGAGTTTTCAGATACCGGGTGGCTTTCTTGCACATCATTATGGCGGAAAGAATGTGTTTCTGATAGGTGTTTTCGGTGAGTATCCATATTTTCTCATATTTTGTAGAGTTCGAAGGTCTTCAGCTCAGGTACCGCCGTTTTCACACTCCTTACCCCACCACTGGCCAAGATCAGTTATGGTGTTCTTGTGTTAGCACGTTTTGTTGAAGGAGTCTTTGAGGTTTGTGGATTTCGGATTTTAGCGGAAAAGATGCATTTCGAACAGTTTAGGGTGTCACCTATCCGGCTATGCATGTGATGTGGGCCCATTGGGCTCCAGTACTGGAAAAAACGAAACTGGCAACATTTGCCTTTTCCGGCTCCTACTTCGGTACAGTCATATCAATACCGTTGTCTGCGCTCATTGGGCAAGCTCTTGGATGGCCATTCATCTTCTATTTTTTCGGTAAGCTTGAATACATTTGGAGGTTTCTCACAAATATCCAGTACGCTGTTGAGATTGGATTTCATCGCCTTCTTACGTGACTGCGTTGTTTCCCAAAAATCTCGTGAAATAGGATATAAGTGCACTTTCGTCATTTCTCTACGTGTTATAGGAAAATTGCTATTTTTGGCAGTTTTGCAAAAATTCTGAGCTATGGGCAATCTATAACAATACCTTCTTGCTATTGAATCAATACCATTTTTTTCAGTAAAGTCGATGACTTTCGACTAAGTATTCTAATAACTCCGTTTAAAGGTTATAGTGTAACTCTGCAGGGGTAAACAAGATCAGATTTAATTGATTTAAAAATTTTATGTACATGCATTCTCAAGAAAAACGTGACCTTATCCCTGTTGATTCAAGTTCCCTTATAAGCTTAATCATGGTAGAAATATAAACTCTCACGTGCACATACTGCAGAAGCTGTAAGCTCAAGAGTTTAGCATCAGCAAAATCACCGTGTAGTTTTAGAGAATTACATCCTTCCTCCTGGATTCGATCATGAGCATAAGTACAGGATACATTATATGTTTA